CGGCCAAGTAAACCTCGCCTGAGCCCGATTCAGAGCACTCACGCTTCTCAAACAATCCGGGAAATACGCCTGGGCACGGTTTGGATAGTACACTGAAGAAAATTCTTCAAAGATGATTCCTTGGATTTACTCAATTCTTTTTGCGTTAAGTGATTGTAAACAATTTATTGGTGTTGAATTTAAACAAACAAATTAAGTTGAACATTATTAAATTTAGATTATTTGTTTAAATTCAACACAAATAAATTGTTTGCACCGGTTATGCATGCAACACTTTTTTGAGTGCATAGTGTGAGTATGCCCTGAATCCCCCTTAGACCATATGGGTCAAATATAGATGTGTAACCATGGGGTCACTGATGTACCCTTGTTGAGGTCGTTCTGGGGCAATTCAAGACCTTCATACTTTGAAATGACCGTTCTGTGTGAGTATGTATGAAGAGAAGGTGAGTGAAGAGAGAGGGTTGCGAGGATGCTTCAAATGTAAATGAATCCCACCTTGTGAGGTGTGGAGCCTACTGTCTCTTTGTTTCCAGTATCAAAGTATTTGTGGTATCTCAAATCTTACAACACAAAAACAATTTATTGTCTTATAAGTATTCAGATCAAACACATCAGACTGTTCACACTATGGCATTTTGTCTATTTAAAAATTATTATTATTAATAATTATTATAGGTAACGCTCAGGGTCGGCGTGTCCATAGAGGCGACCTAGGCGACCGCCCTCAACACCTGCATCATCAGTTATGTCTGCGACACCTCCCTCACCCCCGCCGCCTCAGTTATATCCGCGCCTAGGGCGGCAGAATAGAGAGGACGGCGTCCGCAACACCTCTCTCAACACCCGCGCGCCCTCAGTTGTGTCCGCGACCCAGCACCCCATACAACCACAACCACCTCCCCCCCTCAGTTTGATAACCGTTTTCACTATCGGGTTGAGGGCATGTCCATCCTTTGACTAGAGCGGCAGTTCAGCTTGCTCCGGCCCTGTTAACACTTTATTTTGATGGATCATTTGAGTATTAGTAGACTGTCACCTTGCAAGTACATGTCAACTTACACTAAGGGTGCTTTCACACCTACACTTTTGTTTCGGAACGTATCTCATTTGCCCAGTTAGCGCGGTTCGATTGGCATATGTGAACAGGACAATCGCGCTCTGTTCTGCGCCAAAGTAATCACTCCGAGATCGCTTGAATGAGGTGGTCTCGGCTCGATTGAAACGAACCCTGGAGCGGTTCGATTGCAGTGAGAAAGCGATCCGATCCGAGCGCGGTTATATCACAGTGTTTTATGGATATGTAATAGGCTTACGGCTATATGAAGAGAGAATTATGAGTAGGGCGGGAAGTTTTGCGAGTCTCCGGATGCCCGCAAACGAGTGATGATCTCCCGGTAATCTCGCGTCTCTCTCCCAGTCCTCAAATAGGCATCGTCGCGCACCCTTCTCACCCCTCCCCACCGCGTCTCTCCTCAGACATGTCGCGCGCGCACCCTGTCAATCACCACCAAACCACCACCTATCCTGACAGCTGAGCGGGACGCTGCAAAATAAACCCTGACACTGACCAATGTAAGGAGAGTTTACTCGCACGTGACTTGTTTTAGCTCTTTTGGTCCGATTAGAAACTTTGCAGTGTGAAAGCGAACCGCTCCAAGAGCAAAGAGCAACAATGTTACAATTTAATCTCTGTTTCGGAACAACTGAATCGATTCACAGGTGTGAAAGCACCCTAACACTAACCTTAACAGTTTACTTATTATCTAATAAAAATTAATTGCAATTAACTTTAATTCAACAAACGAACCATTAAAATAAAGTGTACACTCGCTATATCTTAAGGTCCAGTAATCCTTTCTGCAGGTAAAACTGGTTATTTATGCAAATGATATATCATCTTAGCACATTAACTATCTGTTGTCATACACACTGCAGTCTGTGTACATTTTGGCACTCAAATACGCTGCAGAGGAAATATGTGGAGCAGGATTTGGTTTAATATGAAAGAGTTATAAGATTTAAACCATCTGTAGGATGAATTCAAATATCTGAAACATCAGAAAGAGGAATAAATCTGGCTGTGGCATTAGAAGAAGCACAGGGAGAAACCTTCTCCTGAGGCCAAACACATTACTGATATTTACTGTACACACACACACCATTTGACCAAAGTCCAACATTCTTCAGTCTCTATCAATCTCTGACTTTTATCTTTCTCCGTCTGTCAACCATCCATCTCTTTGTGTGTCATCCATTCATCCATCCATCAATCCATCTGCCCTTCTGTCATCCATCATTTATCAATGCCTTCATTGTCTGTCACCCATCAATCATTATATCAATCCACCCATCCATCAATTATACATCCATTTATCTGTGTTATTCATCCATCCATCAATATATCAATCCATAAATCTAGCAATCTGTCCATCCATCCATTCATCCATCCTCCAATTATACATCCATTCATCTGTCTGCCATCAATATATCAATCCATCCATCAATTTATCGATCCATCCATCTGTCCATGCATCCATCCATCAATATATCAATCTATTTATCTGTCAATCCGTCAAGCCATCCATCAATCCAACAATCTTTAAGCTCATCCATCCTTCAATTATACATTCTATCTTCTGTCTATCTGTCAATCATCCATCCCTCTATCAAAATATCAATCCATCCACCCATTAATTGATCCATCAACCTATCAGTCCATCTGTCCATCTGTCTTCCATCCATCCATCCATCCATCAATATATCAATACATCAGATCTTCCATTCGTCTATCCATCCATTAATTCATCCTTCCTTCAATCAATCAATCTATCTATCTATCTATCTATCTATCTATCTATCTATCTATCTATCTATCTATCTATCTATCTATCTATCTATCTATCTATCTATCTATCTATCTATCTATCTATCTATCTATCTATCTATCTATCTATCTATCTATCTATCTATCTATCTATCTATCTATCTATCTATCCTTCTGTCTGTCTGTCTGTCTGTCTATCAGTTCATTCATCCATCAATTATACATCTATTCATCTGTCTGTTATACTTCAGTCCATCAGTATATCAATCAATCAACATATTAATCTGTCAATTTATCAATCCATCCATCTGTCCATTCATTCATCCATCTGTCTATCCATCCATACATCCACCCATCCATCCATCAATCTATCAATCACGTTATCCATCAATCTATCATTCCATTCATCCACCTGTTTACCCATCCATCCATCCATCCATCAATTATACATCCATTCATCTGTCGGTTATCCATCAATCCTTCGATATGACCAGCCATCAATATATCAACCGATCAATATATCAGTCTATCTATCTGTCCATCCATCCATTAATATGTCTCTCCATCAAGCCATCTATCATTCCATTCATCCCTCTGTTTTTTTAATATATCAATCCATCCATCCATCCATCTAGATCAGTCTGTTTTCATGCATTAACTGACAGCTAGAGTTACTTGTTCCGTTCAGTTGTTCTCCTTCATGCTGAAATGTCGTGTTCATCACAGAATCTGTAACTCAGGCGAATGCAATCATCTGCTGGTTTCATTTTTCAGTGGTACTGGATGTGGGTTAAAGATCTGCCATTCCATGCTGAAAACCAGACCTGAGGTTTCAGATCTGGCTCAAGACGACAAGCCACAGTTACATGAACCATACACTGTTTTCCTGGAAAACCTGACACTGGACACTTCCAGGTTAAAGTTAACTGTTTCTTTCTTGACGTCTACATGAAACCCAATTATGGAAGATAAACACAGGTCTACAATGCTAACAGTTGTTCAACACAGAACGTCTCAGCCTTTTTCACATCTGTCTGTGCAAACTCCTGCTAAATAGGTTTATTTTATTTAAATTTATTTACATAATAGTGAAATTTCCTGCATTGGGGTAAAATCAGATTTCATCAGTTCATCCAGCCTGATCTCACGAGAAGTGTTTTACGTTTTGTCAGTGTAGTGACTAATTCGTACGAATTCAGTCGTACGAAATTGTACGATTTTAAAAAGGAGGCGTGGCACGTAACCCCACCCCTAAACCCAGCCCTCATTGGGTGGATGAGCAAATCAAACTAAATTAGAGGAATTAGATCGTACGAATTCATACAAATTAGCCACTAAATCAAAAATGTATGAATTGCCGTGAGTTTGTGTTGGTTCATCAGGTTTCTGCAGGTTTTACCAAGTCAAATTTAAGACTTTTTAATACATTTTTAAGAGCATTATGAAGCAAATTTCTGACTTTTACAGGGCTAAGCACTAACGATTTCTTCTAATGGTATGGTTTGGCCAATAAAAAAAGATTTAAACTTGCCTCATTGAAGCAATTTCAATTTAGTTATTTCTTAACCACATATTTTAAATGTGTCATAACAAGCAAAATATTTACTAGTTAAAATAACTATAATAAACTAAATCTATGCACAACAGTCTGTCTAAAATAAGATAATTATGCCGTACTGGTAAATAGAGTTAAATATTCAACTTTTGTTAAAAGTTTTATTGAGATGGATTATTGGTGATTGGTCTGCCAGATTGATTAGGCAACGTTACACATGCAGAGGAAAATTAAGGCCAGTTTAAAATCATTTAAGACATACAACAACTAATTTCTGTCAACTCTAAAATTGTGTATTTCAAATTTAAGACATTTTAAGACCCCGCATATTTTGGTTGTATGGGTCTCCAACAACATACTGGTCTGCATGCAAGGTCAAAAAACACTTTCATGGTCTTATAATCTGCATTTATATATACACACACACACACACACACACACACACACACACACACACACACACACACACACATATATATATATATATATATATATATATATATATATATACACAAAAGCTTTGCAGCAAGTTGGCTTAAATTTTTCTGTTTTTTTTTTTCCCAGTGCACAGAGTTAAGCTCTCCCCGCCACTGTACAAACAAAACAAAACAAACAAACCTTGGCAGGTCTTGCCATCCTCCTTGAGCTCTTGACCTGCGGGACACTTGCAGTAGAAGCTGCCGATGGTGTTACAGCATAAAGCCTCACAGCCTCCATTGGTCTCTTCACACTCGTTCACATCTGACAGAGAGAGAACAAACACAACACATGAGCTACTGATGCAGATTCACAGCAGACTGAAGACTCATGAACACATCCATACAGAGAAATCATCAAACTGCACTCATCTGCTACTGACAGGATTGCTGTTGCTACCAGTGTTGAGTAGGTTTCTTCAAAAAAGGAATTAATTACAATGTAAAGCATTTAACAACAAAAAGTCAAGATAACAGATATTTCTATGTTGCTTTAACTTATTTTAATAAGTTAATCAGGTTTGGTTATAAAAAGTTATACAAAGTTTATTCATTCATTCTTCTTCGGCTTAGTCCCTTATTTATCTGGGGTCACCACAGCATAATGAACCGCCAACTATTCTATGTTTTATGCAACGGATGCGCTTCTAGCCACAACCCAGCACTGGGAAAAACCCATATAATCTCACATTCACACAGACATACACTATGGCCAATTTTGTTTACCCAATTCCCCTAAAGCGCATGTGTTTGGACTGTAGGAGAAACCAAAGCACCCGGAGGAAACCCACGCCAACACGGGGAGAACATGCAACAATGCCAACTGGCTATACAAAGTTCAGCGTAATATTTTTAAGGCAGTTTGATTGATGAAAGTTGAGATGACTTGAAAAGTTTGCTTCAACTAATTTGATTTAACTAAATAATTTAAGGCAGCAAGTAAATAAATAAATAGCCTAAAAATGAACAAACAATAAAAATAAATCCATATACTTTACATTTTCCGCAGCAAAGTAATGCAACTACGGTAACTAATTAGTTTGCAACTAAATACACCACAACAAATTCAATACTGGGCGACGCAGTGACTCAATGGGTAGCACATTCACCTCACAACAAGAAAATCTCTGGTTTGAGCCTCGGCTGGGTCAGCTGGCATTTCTGTGTGGAGTTTGCATGTTCTCCCCGTGTTCGTGTGGGTTTCCTCTGGATGTTAAAATTAACCATAGTGTATAAGAGAGTGTGTGTGAATGAGTGTGTATGGATGTTTCCCTGTGGTGGGTTGTGGCTGAAAGGGCATCCGCTGCATAAAAACAATAAAACATATGCTGGATAAGTTGGCAGTTCATTCCAGTGTGGCGACCCCAGATTAAAAAAGGGACTAAGCGGAAAAGAAAATGAATGAATAAATATTATTTTAATTTTAGGCCAGAATCACACTTCCATACTAAATAAAGAGCTTTAATTAAATATTTAATAAGTCAGCTTAAGCTTAATTTTACACTTTATTTTAATGTATGTCCAATGAATCACACTATTTACACCAATTACACTTAATAATAAATAATTCTATAAATCTAAATCAATTTCATTTTATTTAAAAAATTTTAATAAAATAATTATACTTAAAAAAATAGTTATTTGGGGGGGGGCAGTAGCTTTATTTTATAAGTAAATGCTATGCAAATACTCAAAGATGTCAACTCTTTATCATTCATTTCTTTAATCTGAGAAACAGGATGCATAAAAGACTCTCAAACTTCATTTGAGGCCTTAATGAGAGCTTATTGGTGAAAATTCACTGGCAAACTAAAGCAGAATATCGTTTTTCCATGCATGACATTTCCGTCTCAAAAAAAAAACACTTCCAATTGCAAGATATTTTGCTCATGACAGTCTGCTGCCAACAAGTAAATCATGTGCATAATTCAAGACATATTTATCTGCTCTTCACTTTAACTCAGTTTGACAATAATGTTTTTTGATTATGCGGCTGGAGCTTCTGGAATATGAGTTTTCATGGGAAAGCGCTCGTGAGTGAGCCTTCACTCTGGTTGTTTTGTCAGTTTGCATATCTTTCAACTACATAAACATGCTGCTGTTTATAATGGCAAAGAGTTTGGTCCATTTCGGATGTGAGAAAGTCCATGTTTGCATATTCTACGGGAGTATTTCACCAGTATTTCACCATTCATCTGACAAAACTAAAGTCTAATACTGTTATGATAGGGCGCTGAACCACAAAGAGTTAATTGACAAGAGTAGTCAAGCAGGCAATGGCAAAAAAACGGGGCCATCAGGAGCATGTAAGTTATTCAAAGTGTAGTCAGAAACAGGTGAATGGTCAGGACAGGCAGTGAGATAACGGAGACAAAGGGGTCAAAACAAGGCAAGACAAACAAGGAAAACTGCTTTGTAATGCTACATGGTGTAAACAAGACTCAGCAGTGTGTATGTGAAAGTGCCATGTATAAATAGTCCATGTAATCAGTGAAGATGAGCTACTGTGTGTTTGTGTATGTCAGGATTATTGTCAACTGTGGAAGTAGTTGATGAGTGCAAAGGGTTTTGGTAGTTGTAGTTCAGATGAGTGTCCGAATTGTATAGGGATGTCAAAATGAATTGTTTCTTCGGCGATGCAGACGTGGACAATTCGGTATCAGATCAGTAATAATTATAACCGGTTATTATGTACTGACGTCATTTACCTCATATGCGATATTTCGCCGTAGCTTACTATGGCGAGGGAGGTGAGCGTGAGTATTTACAATGCTCCAACTACTTAAAAGCACAGAAACTGTGCACAATTTCACTGCGTGGGTGTTTGCTGGACAGTCTTTCACTGACACTTACAGCAGAAGCCCCTATTTTACTGTGAATGAGAAAATGAAAGTAAACTCCATTTCTCTCTCTCGCTCTCTCTCTCGCTCTCTCTCTCTCTCTCTCTCTCTCTCTCTCTCTCTCTCTCTCTCTCTCTCTCTCTCACACACACACACACTGGGGCCCATTTGACCAGCTGGCTTGACTATACTTGAAATAAAATAAAATAAAATAAAATAAAATAAAATAAAATAAAATAAAATAAAATAAAATAAAATTAAATTAAATTAAATTATTTAATTTAAATAAAACAAATTAACTAATTAATTAAATAGGAATAATGAATATTATTGGCTCTTTGCCGTTTGGAAATAAAGTAAAATAAAATAAATAAAATCCATTTACGGCACTTTGTGTACTCATAGGTGTTTTGGTCTAGAAAAGAGGTGTGTTGAGGCGAATAAAATTAAAGGAATAAAATATTACAAAAATTATTATTTTCTACATAAATATAAAAACCACTGCCTCCATGCCTTCCTCATCTCGGGTGTAACAAGGAGTCTGGCACAGAGGGATCCATTTGCATGTTTATTAAACACAGTTTAATAATAAACACACAGTATACACTGGTGCATGAACACACATGAATCACAGGCTTATAAGGTGGATAGGCAGGTGGCTGGCATTCGTATATCAGATTAGCAGGCATGGGTCAGAGGCAGGCAGCGAGAATCAAGATCGGTAATACAGGCAGATATTCAAGGCAGGCGACAGACAAGGCAAGGTCGAGGACAGTGCGGGTTGGCAACAGAAGATCAGGCAAGGATAAGTAACGCTCTGTAATGTCAGCAGGGCAGAACAAGACTTCGCAATGAAGTGGGAGTGAGAGCTGCTTTTATGTGTGTGTGTGTGTGTGTGTGTGTGTGTGTGTGTGTGTGTGTGTGTGTGTGTGTGTGTGTGTTGGAGTAATGAGAGTCAGGTGCGGCGTAATCAGGTGGCCGAATGGGTTTGTGGGTGATGTAGTGTTCAATAGTCCGGTGATGGAGACCTCTGCTGGCCAGTGAGTGGAATGACTGGGACTGAGTCGGTGACATCGGGGGGCTTTTTCAGATTATTCATGACAACTTGCTTTTGTATAATGTAATTATTATTAGCAGTATTACTTATTATCTGCATATTTATATTTGTTTTATTAAAAACAAGCTTAGATTTGTCCACCTGTCAGGTTTTAAGACCATATGGGGCATAAGAATAGAATGTGCTTGGATATATCTCAGTTTTTTGAGCACACTTCGTTATTATTGTTCATTTATTCGTTTGCTGGAAATTAGAACTGAATTTAGAAATAGCTTTGCACTTAATAAACAAAATTTATTATGTATAGGCTAATGGATGTCTGAGCGTACAACACGTTTCCCTATCCACGAGAGTAAAAGCGAAAGTAAAGAATGAGGAGGCTTATTCTCTCATTCTCGCGCTGCAGATGATCTGTTTAACTCACTAGGGAAGTCAGTTTTTCTACTTACAAAGTCCACCATGTAAATAGCAAATGCGCCATGGTGAGACGAAACTGACTCTTAAAGGGAATGGGAGATGAGACTCTGATTGGTTTATTCTCAAAACACACCTACAACTCATTAAGAAAATAAGCTCAACCCTGTTATACCATGCGCCACGGCGCAAAGTGGATTTTTTCGTCATTAAAATAGCAAAAGTGGATTCTGACACACCCTTAATGCTTTTGCGCCCTGCATTTTGCGTCTAGATCGTTAAAATAAATCCCCTGCTCAGCCAAATATGCTGAAACTGAAGAACCGAAACAGTTCATTTAGAAACCACCAAAGTCTCACCACCTCATATTCATAGACAGACAGCATTTACATATCAACACCACCATCATTATCTCATTCCACAGTCAACCAATCAAAGCCAAGCTCATTTATAATAAAAGTAAGGGGGAAAATGTTTAATGAAAGCTGAATTATGACTTTATGGAGCAAAAAAATATTGACCAAAGTGAATTTGTTTGTTTTAAAGTGGGTCGTTTCACATCCATTCATTCATTTTCCTTCGGCTTAGTCTCCATTTCAGAGGTTGCCACAGCGGAATGAACCGCCAACTATTCCAGCATATGTTTTACGCAGCAGATGCCCTTCCAACCACAACCCATTACTGGGAAACATCCATACACACTCATTCACACACACACACACACACACACACACTCATACACTCCAGCCAATTTAGTTAATCCAGTTCTCCTATAGCGCATGTCTTTGGACTGTGGGAGAAACCGGAGCACCCGGAGGAATCCCACGCCAACACGAGGAGAGCATGCAAACTCCACATAGAAATGCCAACTAATCCAGCCAGGACTCGAACCAGCGACCTTCTTGCTGTGAGGCAACAGTGCTAACCACTGAGCCACCGTGCCGCCCCATATTT